GGAGCAGGTCGATCTGTTCAATGGTATAGCGTGGCTCCACATCACAACACTCCATCCTTGCATCTGCGGAACAAGACAAGTAAAAAAAAAAAATCAAAGTATTAAAAAGAAAATTATTATATTATAATAAATGTTTGTAATCAACATCTTTAAATAAATAGTTTTATTTTTCTAATTTTTTTTTATTTCAATTGTCATTTGCAATGCTTCAAGAGATGTAGCTCTTTACATCATTATAGTACGAATTTTTGTTTTTGGCCAATTTTCTCGTAATTTTTTGCTTAAAATCAAAGTTTATAATTTTGTGATTCACCTCATAGCCAGTTAAACATCTTAAACGTAGACAGAATATTAAACAAAGACTTAAACCAACAGAATATTACATATGGAGGTGGGGTTGTGGTCATTTTTGCACAGGAAAAAAAAAATCACTTAAAGTTCGGTCTGATCCTCGCACTTTGAAACAATATGTATTGTAAAATGTGCTATTCAAATAAATGTGATTTGAACTGGATTACACAAAGCTATTCCATAAGACCTGGAATATCACAAAAGTCATACTGACCACTTTGATTATACTTTTATGGTACTTTTTGGAACAACAAAAGGGTAAGCAATTTTTTTTCCAATTATTAGTAAACTGCAAAAGGTATGCTGTACACATCCATTTGTTCTCTTATATTTCATATTACTGTCAATCTCATTTATTTTTCTTTTCTATCTAACCTTTTACTTAAATCAATTCTTTTGCTAACCTGCAAACACTGGCATTCCTTCAGGAAATGCAAACCTAGTAGTATAGAGTAACTTCATATAAAATGTTTGCACATCATATTTGTGGTCCTACCTGAGATTTGAGGTGATAATCGGCCCGTTGGGAGCGGTTCGGCGCGTGGAGCCACCGCAGGAAGGCACCACTGTCGCATGGTCGAAGAGTCACCCGCAGGGGACAAGGGGGGCTGTCAAAACATCACAATAAGTACTAACAGCCAGTCAGCATGTATCAGTTAGTCATGCTAGTGTAACGATAGAAACAACTCAGCCGCGGTCTGCTTTAAAAACGACCTTCAATAACAGCTAACGCACGTCTGTGATCTTTATTTGGTGTCAGGCTCGCGCTAACTGGCTAGCCCCAGCGGGCACGCACTACATGCAAGAATGCTTTATCTTCGCCTTTGTTTTCACACTTGCAGCTGAACCCAGTGGCTTGGGGACGGCTTTTACTTCTGGCAGACAACGCGTAAAGTCATGCAGTACTAGAAAAAAGTCACTGCTCTAGTTTTTGAAACAGATTCGCGTCTCGCAGTGCCACTTGTTATGACTGTGGGTGTGAGATGCCTTCAGTAGCACAGCTTTGATGCACAGAGCGCTAGAGTAACTGTATTGCCGCTAGCATGAAAAGCTATATGCCCTACACGCAGTTATCCGCCTTACCTCCCCGCACTACCGTCAAACTGCCGCCGGAGTTGGAGATGGTGCGGTCGGTGCACACCCTGGGTTATATCCCGGCCCTCCCGTGCGCTCACTTGCACTCCGAGGCGCTTCAACTAGCTAATGAAGGTGATCCGAGGAGGGTCACATTGTCCTGGGATGCCGCAGCATAATATTACTGGATATATGGAAGTCAACAATCGACCTCTCACCCGCAGCGACAGTCCCATGTGGATGCAGGAAGTGGATGCCAGAAGACACTTCCATACGTCTTCAACGACATGTAAAAAGATTTAGCAAGACCTTATGAAGAAATAGTTGGGACATATAAAAATGGGTTCTTACTTTTTATCAAGTTTGTTTACATTTGTCAGATTTCGCAGGACTGCTATTCTGTACGGATTTACGCTTTTCTTTTTTTTCTTTTGTGCAAACAGCAATGGGAATGTTTGCAATGCACCAGTAATGAGTTGCTTGCTTGCACTGTTAATATGATGTTCAAATTGCTGACCACAAATAAATCGTAGCTATATTATATTAATATTATATCATGCAATGTGCAGGAGGAGTCATTAGTCCTACAACCAGCACAACTAATTTAAAGCTTCTACAAGAGATCTGAAAAACAAAAACATTAGACTATATAAAACGAGCCTTAAAAAAAGTTCCACACAATTACTAAAATATTTAATTATCAACACAATTATTTATGGACTATATATTTTAATGTGAAGCTTAGTCTTTTATTATAGTCTATTGGATAAAATAAGAAACTCACATTAATGTTTTTTCTAAATTAAAAACGTTATAATGTATAAGTGCCTGAACAACTAACAAATGTAACAAAGTATGTTGTGTTGGTATTATTTCTCTTATTTCATTCTAAAACAGTCCATCCTGTCTAATAAAATACATACGTATACAATAGTAATAATCAAATGAAAAAGTGCCGGAGTTTGATCATTTCTGACCAATGATTAATCAAGTTTAAACAAAACTTTCATTCATAATAATCCGCAGCAGAGCACTTGATGACATACTTTTCACCTTTAGTTGACAGTGCTGTTCATTTTCATCATCTGAATGAGAAGTCCTGTCCTGCAGAGAAACCCATCTTAACAGTATTTGTGGTGATCACCTGGTGCACATCCTGCCTCCCTTCTGTGAGAAGCTGTATTTCATTATGAAAAGCTGATATGAGTGTGCAAGCTCGCACAGACATAAACGGATGATCCATCTAGCAGCTCTGGCCTGCAAAGACAATCAAGATAATATCCAGGAGACAATATTATTATAGTCTGCTGACCATCCTTCCTCAGACTTTATTAGTGGGGCTGGCTGTCTCCTGAACTGGACTTCCTCCCTTCCCCAAATTAATATGCTTTGATTGAGACGAATGCTTACTGTGTATGATACAAAAACAAAACCATTTTGGTCCTGATCAAAACTCAAATACTTTTCTAAATCTACATTTCAATCTAATATCCTTAATTTCTTTTATCTAACTGGCCATACAGAAAATAGAAACAGAGCCCATATCTGACACACTGGTGTAGGATTCACTTTGAAACAAATTTTACTCAGAAATTACTAGTACACTTAAAGAGATATTTCACTCAAAAATGCAAATTCTGTCATCATTTACTCACACTTACGTTGTTCCAAACCTGTAGGAATTTCGTTCTTCTGTTGGACACAAAAGAAGATATTTTGAAGAATGTGGATAGGCCTACCAATCGCCATTGACTTCAATATTATGGGGGGG